TACAGTGCAATAACAATGAGCTACTGCGCTTTAGCGTCTCATGTAGATACGGCCACAGAGGCTTGCCACGGAGATTCCCCAGGACACATCTTTGCAAGCTGGGAACTTGTTGCCTGTTGTTCCACAGGATCAATGGGCAGGACAACAGGTAACATGCACTTCACTCAGTGAAGTGGATTAGCTGAGCTGGGACACATCCTGGGCCAGTTGACCCATTCCATTTGGTAACCTCTATATATACCCTATTTGTGGATGCTCTCAGTCTCATGAAGATGCTAGGTAGGGGTGGGGGGTCTCAACATAAATTATCTGAGGAAAATATGATGGCATTTAAACATTTGGGGCTCAGTTGCATTTCACTTTACATGCTTGAATAGGACATATGCAGCTACATACCTGTAGTTTTTGGCCCTCTTGTACAACGAAATGGGAAGACCTGCCCGTGGTTTAGTTCAGTGGTGTAGTGGTTAGAGCACTTGCCCAGGGATCAAGAGACTCAGGTCCTAGGCCTGCCTTGCACACAGTGGAACTTACACTTGCATTTTTCTGTTTCACTGTAGTGGTCTGCCCACTAGACTACAGGTGAAGCATTATCCAGACCCTTAACCAGCCTACCTTTCAAACTTTATGCACCTTTCATTTAATATTCATTGTAAACAATGGATAAACATCACTGGGAAATCTCTTCCCCTTTAGAAACAAGAACCCAGGCTAGACTCTAAGGCTTTTTCATCTAGGGAAGCAGCTGTCTAGCTGAGCCGTACACCCTCTAGCTTGTTCTTTTCCTCCTGGCCCCTCCTTTTCCTCTGGCATCTATGACCTTGTAATCATGTCATATTGCCCACTTACAATCTTGTGATTTACCCAGCCTTATAGTTATACCTGGGAGATCCTGGTTTGCTATGTACCTGTGCAGCCAGAGCCCAATGTCCCAGGTGCTTAGGTACCAAAACTGAAGTTACACAGCTCTGTAGTGCCACTTTGGAAAATAATAAAATAGGATTTAGCCTTTCATTTCAGTGCATCTGTTTATCTTGATGTATTTTTAAGTCCTTAAAAATAACAGGATATAATTTATAACAGCTAAGGAGCTTTCTCAATGACAGGTATAACAACATTCCTCTTTATTTTTGTTAGAAAACATTAGGAATGTCTTAACATTGCAAATCATGTCTAAAGAAAAATTATGTGAAATAATAAAACAATGGTCTCACTATTAAATGGAATATATGATGCCTTGGCTTAAGAAAGTTTAGCAAACAAGTTAGATAATATTTATGCCACAGCCTATCACTTTTGTGTTAATCTGGAATAAAGTATTTGACAACTTTATGGCTGTTTCACCCAGGCTAGCCTAAACTGAGCATATTACCTTATAACTTTTCCCTAATAATAGGCCACTTGTTTTGTTTTAATTAGGGAAATTAAGGAATTTCAGAGAATAACTACGAATACAATAATAAGAACATTATATTAAGAATGTGAAGAAGAACTGTGATAGAGTAAGTGCTGTTTCTTTTCAGGATTGGCAGCTTTCATTTAAATTGCAATGATAGAGAATAGCTTGTTTAGATCAGAACAGGACCTTAGAAGTGGATGGGCCCTACTGATACACACCAACTGATGTTCTGTTGAAGCATGTGTTAAGTTTTCTTTTTATAATCTATGTATTCAGGAGAAACAAAATGCAACTGTTACAAGGGTGTTTGAAAAAATTCTGGGAGAACATTTTGCCATCATAAAGTAACATTTTGTTGGAATCAAAACTTTTTGCAGGATTATCTCTTTAATACACACACACATACACACAGTACATTTCAATAATATTGAAAAATTCTGCTTTAATATTTCCAAAATTCATTGTTTGTATCAATTGTCTTGAAATGCATAGTACAGTGGATAATATGTAGTATAATGTAGAGTGAAATATATAGTAACAAATATAAATAACAAAGTAAAAATAAAACCCAAAAGTTTTTTCAGAACAGTTTCAGAGGTCTATGTCCAGAAAAGTAGAGTTCTTTTGTCTCTGCAGCTGATTCAGGGTGTATAAATAAGATGGAATTCTATGTACTACATGACTAAAAGCCTTCTTGATCAAAATGTACAGTAGCAATCATTAAATATATCATGCACAGTGACATTGGGGAAGGCATTGTTCTCCATTCTGCTCAACGGACCATGCTGGAACACTTGTTTCATATCTTGAAACCATTTATGATTGCTGTTAAAGAAGTCAGTGCTTTAGCAGCACCAATGAATCAAATCAAGTTATCCCATTCATCTGTCTGTTAAAAACAAAATATTGGAGAAAATGCAGGCAAACAGAATCTAACTACACCCCAAGTTACATTTTTTTTTTAAATCATTCATCGGTTTGTCAGCACATGTCAGTCACGGAAAAAAGCAGACTGCATTTTAGCTCATTTTTTAGCTCTTTTCTTGCCACTACAAGCTATATTTTTTAAAGGATGGCCTGCACACTTGGAGATGGAGAAAGAAAAAAGGAAGAAGTAGATCAAACCTGGGTTTTTCCTTTGAGTGACTGTCCATTTGCAAATTGCACTCCAGCTGTTCTTAAACCCAGATGTGGAGACATTTTTGCCACCTGTAGCCATGTGACATCCTTGCTCTCTAATGCTAGTGTTTTGTCTCAAGGACATAAAAGGTGGAATGTGGCTATTGCATTTCAAATCCTTCTTGCTATCAGCCTACAGACTGCACCAAACTCTTAATGCTACATGGACACAACACAAAACAGCTCCACCATCCACACAGAGTTAAACCCAGTGGTGTGAGGTGGAGGGAAAGCCAGTGACAGAGCTGCTCTCAGTGAAACCCTGGCTCCAAGTGAAGCCCTGGTGAGCACAGCCTGGTGGCTGGATGCTCCGTCAGCCCCATGGAGCTGAGCCTGGCGGCGTGAGGCAGGGGAGAGCCACTGGTCACAGCTGTGCTCAAAGCCAGGGCTGTGCTCAGAGTAGCTCCACAACTGGCTCTTCCCCACCTCCCGCCACCGAGCTGAGCTCCATGGGGCTGGCAGAGTTGCTTGAAGCACAGCCCTGGCTCTCCTCCACATCCCACCACCTGGCTGCACTCTAAACAGCTCTGCCAGCCCCACGGAGCTCAGCCTGGTGGCAGGAGGCAGAGGAAAGCCACTGCCCAGCACAATGCTCAGAGCTAGGGCTGCACTCCAAGCAGCTCTGCCACTGGCTCTCCACCATCTCCCACCATCAGGCTCAGTTCTGTGGGGCTGCAGAGCCTCCAGCCATCAGGCTGTGCTCACCAGGGCTGCGCTCGTAGCCAGGGCTGCGCCCCAAGCAGTTCCGCCAGCCCCATGGAGCTCAGCTTGGTGGTGGGAGGCAGTGGGAGAGCCAGTGGGAGAGCCACCTAGAGTGCAGCCCTGGCGAGCAGAGCCTGGAAGCTGGAGGCTCTGCAGCCCCATGGAGCTGAGCCTGGTCGCAGGAGGTGGTGGGAGGCAGCAGAGGGCCAGTGGCAGAGCCACTCAGAGCATAGCCCTGGCTCTGAGCACAGCCCTGGTGAGCACAGACCAGCAGCTGGAAGCGCCACCAGCCCCATGGAGCTGAGCCTGGTGGGAGAAGGTTGGAGAGAGCCACTGGCCAGGGCTACGTTTGGAGCCAGGGCTGTGCTCCGAGTGGCTCCGCCACTGGGTCTCCTGCTGCCTCCCACCACCGGGCTGAGCTCCATGGGGTTGGCAGAGCTGCTCGGAGCAGAGCCCTGGCTCTCACCCACCTCCTGCCACCCAGCTGTACTCCGAGCAGCTTTGCCAGCCTACACTAACTATGTATACTTTTGCAATACTTACAATTCAAATATTCTGCTGGCAAAGAATCATTAATTGAAAAATACTGCAAAAAACTCTGATAGAAAGGTAACTTAAAGGCTTTTAAAATCTCTTCATAATTGGCAAGCAGGAATAAAGGTTAAAAATCACTGAAGTTATTAATTGTAAGTTATTCACTAACTTTTAGTTCCTGATAAGTCTTTGACCATTACAGCATCTAACAATTACCTAATTAAACGATTTTGGCCTTTTCAGCTTTGACCTGTTGACTCCAGTGTCAATTGCTTTATTTCAGGGATGTCAACAATATGGTTCACAGGCCAGATGTGCCCTGCAGAGCACCTTCATTCAGCTTCTGGTGCTTTGCCAGCCCCATGGAGTTGAGCCTGGTGGTGGGAGGCCGGGGGAGCCATTGGCCAGGAGAGCACCCAGAGCCAGGGCTTCTGGTGCTGGCCTTGAGTCTCAAGCTGACCCAAGTGCCACATGAGGTGTCTGTTGGACAGCTCCTGAGATACACTTTCTGCAGCACCTCCTTCAGCACCTGCACAGGTCCAGCCTGGGACATCCCTCATGGTCTGGATCCAGCACCTCTGGCACCTGGTCCAGTCAGTCCAGAACTGTGCCACACACAGCACCCACACTGTCTGGACCAGGAAACAAACTCCATGCAGCGCTTGCTACAGCCAGTCTCGGGTGCCTGTTGCACATTTGTACCTGCTCCAGTCAGTTCGGGGTGGATGCTGCATAAAGTGTGGGTACCAGATTGGCTGGAGTATACTGTGTGAGTCCCGGATGGCTGAAGTGGGCACCACCCATGGCTCACATCCCAGAGCGGCCAGACCAGGCACTGGATCTGGCATATAGGGATGGGGGCATTTCATGGGCCGAATCTAGTCCATGGGGCCACCCTGCACTATTTATCTAGTCCCTGGACTGGTCCCATGCCACTCACATGTTTGACACCCTTTATTCAATATATCTCATATTTTGAGCATCTGCCAAGTCAGTACCTCTGTATTGAGTAGCCATGCACATGTTAGCTTTGGAAGCTAATGACAGGTATAAAAAACTGCAGCTCTTAAAACAAAAATGACTGGACACTAGGGCTATGCAAAACAGAGTCATTTTGTTTCAACTTCTGTTTCGCCATTTTGAAGGGACAGTGTTTCATTTCATTGTTTCATTTCATTTTGTTTAGTTTCATTTTGAAGCACTGTTTACAACCCAGATGAACACAGCTTGGCAGCCAGAGGCACCACAGCCCCATTGAGCTGAGCCTGGCGGCGGGAGGCGGTGGAGAGCCAGTGGTGGAGCCGCTTGGAACACAGCCCTGTCTTGGGAGACACTATTACCCACATCTTTCCAGGTAGAAACCAACCCTTCCACCACCACTCTCTGGGTGAGTTCCATAAGTCATAAGCAAGTTTTCTACCCACCTGACAGTGAAAAAATCCACATCACATCTACCTAGTTTATTTATAAGACTTGGGTGCAACACTGTGTCAAGATTTATAATCTGATCATCCTAAAAATATTACATGAATGCAGAGTAGAAGAAATATATGCCAGTAAGGAAAGGAGATGGGTAATGAAATACTGTCCAGTGGTCATATTAATAACTACCTTCAGCATTTAGGGATGATACTAATACAGAGGGATTTTAATTGATTCATGTGCCTATTTAATTGCATATTTATGCTTTGCAGGATCAGGACTTTAAACAGCAACTGTCCAAATTTTGTGTTGCCTCATTGATACCTCATATGGAAAAGGGGTAGAGAGTCCAAAGTAACATGATGTGTACATGTTCAGTGCCCAAGCAAGTAACTGCTAGCTGAAGCCTAGAATTAGAAAATGTGTGATTCAGTTCCAGTCTCTGCTTTGTGGCAGGGTTTGCAATGAATGAAAATTTTAAAATTCTCTTCGTTTACAGGCCGAGACAACACAGTCATTACCATTACCATGATTTGATATCCATGACATCTCTTGCAGTTGCTGTCACACCACTTATTACAAATCCAAATGACCAGCATCCCAGAGAAGCTGCTTGTGCAAGCCAGATAATAAACGACCACTAAGGTAGCTTCCAGACGCTATCTTTTGATTTAATCTGACATTGTAAAAATACTTGTCATTATGACATTGCATTTAGATGTCATAGAAAATACAAAAATGAAGCATGCGTTGATAATACACGTAAAATATTGTACTTCAGAAAATTGAAGGTTGTTTCCAGATTCCTCAGAAATTACAGGATCAGATTCTGGAATGAGTGGAATCAGTAAATACAAATTAAATAAAAATGGCTCAGTCTTTACCTGCCATTCTCAGACTCTGAAGATTTGAACACTGTGATTTCAGAACTCAGCTGAGTTCCAGCTTATATTCTTTTAGATCTGGTAACACTTTTTATTAAGTTGTCATTTATAAAAAATAATTTACTGTTGTTTAGTCAACTAGACGGTTTAGATGCTAGTAACTAGACATGCCTGAGAAAACTCACCTATTGAGCTCAGTCACATTTTATATAGAAAGTTTGTCATGCTCAAGAGTTTCTGAATATCGTATCTATTACAAGTTATGGAAATCTCTGCAGAGCTGGCTGTCAGAAAAGTAACTGACATGCACTGTGTTATATCCGGGCCTGATTCAAATCCCTCTCTGCCAATGGAAAGTCTCCCATTGACTGCAAATGGGTTTTGTATGATGTCCTACATGTAATGCTTATTCAGGCAGAGGGATATGGAATTTTGCAGTCGGTAGCAAATGAGATGCAGATAGATATTGTAGTTATGGTGAAGGAAAGGGAATCCCTAAAGAAGAGCTGCTGCGTAGATAGAAACAAATCTAGATAATCAGCATTAATTCTTTCCCTGTAGTCAGTGCTTTTCCTTTTTATACGGATTTGCAGATAGTTTTGTTTGTCATTGCATTTGGTGCTCATAAATTTTATTATATTCACAATCCTTGATACTGAAACCTTCTATTTATCTACAGGATAGGGTCAGCATGAGTCAGAACAAGGCAAATTTCCCCATGGAGTATTGCCAATATCCTCATCGGAGTACCACCAATTAGTGACAATGATTTTTATGATGTGATTGACCTTTGTTCACTGGGAACTGGGCTGAAACCATCAGAGGTTATGTAGAAGAAAACAATTCACCCCTGCACAATCAACTTTCAGTAACCAGTAACCCTATTGGATTTAGACTTGAAAATCATTAACATGTTCATGTAACCCTTTAGTTAATACAGTTGGGTGACTCCATAGTGAATTTTAATAACCACTCACAATATTGCTTCAGTGATAAGCATGCAAAAAATCATCTGAAGAGTTGTGTTTTAGTCATTTGTTAAATAAACTCCATTTCCCAGCAGCCCCAGTGACAGCATGGGTCAGAGCTGGAGCAGAGGCATGATCCTGCTTAGGGCATATGGGCAGTGGGTTGCAGCTCTGCCCTGGCTCTGGCCTACACTGTCACCTCTACACGATCCCAGCCCCAAAGTAGGTCCCCACCCAGCCATGAGCTCTGCCAGCGCAGCTTGGGCTGGTCTCAATGGAGACTCTGGTCCCACGCTATCACAGCCCTACTGCTCCTGGGGTCTCCGTGAAAACTAGCTGGAATGAAGTGGACAGGGCTGCTAGGAAATGGAGTTTGTTGTGGGCCTGATGTGGCCTGTGGGCTGAACTTTTCCGCCCCTGCCCTAACCCTTTGTTGCTTAAGCTGGTATTGTTATACAGCTGAATACAGTCACAGGCAGCTGATGTACAGAAGGCTGAAAGATGTAGGTAGTTGAGGGGGGGCCAAAATCAAGAGTAACAAAGCTGCAGAGAGCCTCAGGTATGCTGATGGCATTAATGAGTAACCCCCGTGCCCTGATGAGTGAATGAAAGATCACGTGATCAGGAGAGGGCTATATAAGTCTGGTTCTTGGAGTGGAGATTACAGTCTGAGCCTGATTATGGAATGGAGAGGAGTTTTGTTCAGGAAGGCTGTATGTTGCTGGATTCATATATAGTAATAAGATACCATGAGGAGATGGAAGGGGCCAGCAAACAGGGGAGGGAGTTTTGTGTAGTAAAGGTGTATGTATGTATAATGTGTGTGTGTGTATATATATGTATATATATATATATATATATATATGTATATATATATATATATGTGTATATATATATACACACACACCTATAAGTCAGTTTCCAAAAAGCAAACCTCTAAATACCATTTCTAAGCCAACAGTCCTCATATGGGTAATATCACACAAGCAGTACAGCACCCCTCTGCAACCTCTACACTTCCCTACTACACCATGCCTCACAGCTAAACAGCAGACACAACCATACATTAATACAAACAAGACAACAAATCCTCTGGATGCCTTTACTACAGAAAACTCCCTCCGCTGTTAGCTGGCCTCTTCCATCTCCTCATGTTACCTTACTATCTATATATAATATGCATTAGAATGGTTCAGGATGGGCAGCAGGGGTTAATTGATTTCTGAAAACCTGGGTCTCTCACACAGTTTCACACAGCCTTCAAAGCAGACAGGTTGTCTAACACAACAAGGCCAAAGGATACAAATGTAGCAAAACCTCCAGTTTTTCTTTTTTAATATATATAAATGATAGATATGCATTCCCTCCCCTCCCCCAGCCTATGCAGGGGGTCAGACTCGATGATCTATTGAGGTCCCTTCCAACCCTAACATCTATGAATCTATGAAAAACACCGAGCTGAAGGAGACCCCGACTGGCCATCGAGGATCAACTTCCAGCCTGAGATAGGTAGATATTACCTGCCCACCTCCTCCTACAATTTGGATTCCCTCTCTCTCTCTCTCTCTCTCTCGCTCTCTCTTTCCTCCTGGACTTCAGTGGACTTCAGCCCCTGCACCAAACCTCTCTAACCCCTGCTGCCATTGTGTGGGTGTGAGGGTGGGTGCAAGGGAACCAATAAGACATTGTGTCATCATCTCCCCTGTTCAATAAAACCACTGTCATTTGCAACCCCGAGTTGGGTTGTATTTTATTGAATCCTAGTCCCTTCCCTATCTTAAATTCCAGCCTCGTTTTCTCTGTCTCTCTCAGCTCCAGCCCCCACCCCCCGCTAGTTTCCTGATCTCCTCCCAATTCTGTCTCCCCTTTTCTGCCACCTCTCACCCTCTCCTTGCTTTCCTGCTGTCCCTGCTCCCTTTCAGCCTCCTGTGCCATCTACTGCCTTTTCCCTGTAACTTTCTGCTGCCTCTCCCTGCTTTTCTGCTGCCCTGCTGCCTTTCAGTCTCTCCTGCTGCTTTTCCTGTAATTTTCTGCTGTCCGTCTCTCCGTTTTCAGGCTTCCCCCACACCTTCTGTAGTCCTCCCCACCCCCAGCTTCTCATGGCTGTCCTGCAGTTTTATCCAGCAGCTGGAGCATTTTTCCAGCTCCCAGCACCTACTGCTGCTCCCTGCAGCTTCTCTAGCTGACCAGGAGCCATCCTCTGGCTCCCCACACCCAGAGTCCCTCTTTAACACCCACACTTTCCCTTAGTCCCATTTTCCCTCTCCCCACCTACCTTTTCAGCTCCCCCGTAGCTCTGGCTCTGGTCCCTGCCTCTGTGCTGACATCGCTCCCCTGTTCTGCAGGCTTTGGGCATTGTCTTTTAATCATTTAAGAACAATTAATCGAAAATTACCCCCAAGCCTCAGTTCTTCAGCCCAGCCTCCTCTAGTTTACTGGTTCTAATCCCAGTCCCGGTAACTTTCACTCCCTACACTTCTACTTCCTTACCTTAAACTTTCCCCAGGTATCCCAAGTACACCAAGCACATACATACACACATATCACAACATCCAACTTAGGAACTCACCTGTGTGTATGTGTAGGTGAGTGGTATGTGTGTGAATTAGTGAATACACATATATAGATATCATTGTGTGTGTGATATATGAATTAGTAATCGACTTATTTGTATTGGATGTGCAGGTGTTGGTAACTGATTCTTTCTAAATTTGGCGTGTGTAGCATGTATGGACTTAAACTGGTGATAGGTGTGCATGAACCTAGACTGGTTATTTTGAACGTGTGTGTATCTGAGTTGCTAGTATGAGTGTGTATGCCTAGTAGGGGTGTATGCACCTAGTGAGTGTATGTATGCTTAATTGATGTTTATGTGCGCATGTGCAATTGTACACCACACCCTCCTGTCTAACAGTGCAATATTGAGATCCTGAGCGTTGGCCTGACCCCTCGGGGCAACAGAAACAGAGCCTGGGAAAGAGGGGGCGTATACCATACTGTTCCATAACATGAGATAAGGTGGCACCAGCTAATAAGACCCCAGAGCAGAGGGGCCTGAGTCCTGGTTTGGGAGGAACAGATGAAATTAGGAGAAGGCCTGGAAATACCAAATTAGTATGTGTGCATGTCATGAGCTTGTGGACTTATGACAACCACGCAGAGCGACCAATCAGCAATAGCCATGGATAAGGAGTCATCAGGAGGGAAAAAGAATATAAAAGAAGGACTTTGGAGCAGCAAAGGATTTCTCCCCATCCCTCCTTCCTCCCTGGCCCTGCCTGGGTCCTCCTCCTCCCCAAGAGGGGCTCCAAGAAGGGGCTTGAGTTCAGGGTCCATGAAAAAAGTCCCCATCCCTTGGTGGGGTCCTCGAGGCCACCATGGACAGAGGATGCACCACCAACCCATCTCATCCACCCCACTCAGGGGGAGTGTGCGCCCCGGCATTCCACCTCCAGGCTGCTTACATCTGACACCTAAGAGAGACCCTCAGAGTGCAGACTGCGTCCTGGCCAGATGTACTTTGACTCTGATGACAGCCCTAGGAGTGAGTTCAGAATGGACCAGATGGGCAGAAGGGAAGAAAAAAAACATCTACAGTGAGTGCATCTACATGAGACACTGACTGCACAGTAAATGAAAAATACTGCACAGTAGTGCAGCATGGACAGCATGGACAGTGCTTATACCCTACTGCATAGTAGTGTCACCTAAAAGATGTTCACCGGCACTACTGCATAGGAACTCTGGTTACTGTGCTTATGCAAGTACTACATAAATGCACAATACTGACTGCACAGTAGTGTCTCATTTAGATGTTCCCAGTGTTACTCTGGTGACTGAGGGCAGCCTCCCAAGTTATAATAACAACAACTGACATCAAAAGTAT